CTGGGGAATAACAACGCATGGAGGTCACCAGCAAGGCAGGATTTTGTTCAGATCAAGCCATGTCAAATCAATCTGACTTTTTCCTAAGCATGGTAAGAGACATTGTTAGTGAGGGAGAAGCAGAAGGTATTGTACCTACTTGACATAAATAAAGCTTTTGGTACTTGACTCATCTGACAGTTTTACAATAAATTATTGAAACATTATCAAGGTTATGTGGCTTTAAGCTGGTTAGAGACTGGTTGTCTCTACTGAGAGAATGTGTATCAGCATATCTAAAGAGCAAAAGTGAAGGTTCAGGAGAATCCTTGCCTGCTCTGCTTTTTTAGTGTTTTTTGTTGGTAACATCTTATGATGGAATAGAAGGTCCACTTATAAAATTCTGCAAACCATAAAACTGGAGAAAGCTACAAATATGCTGCAGAGTAGGATTAGGGATAGAATAAAGTTGCTAACATTCAATGCCCTTTTTGTTCAGTCAAGGACAGAAGAGAAAGAGCTTGGAGGTTACACTGGATCATAAGGCAGACAGGAGTGGTATATGTTGGAAATAAAAGGCAAATACATTTATTAATACTTTCTATAAAATTTGTCAGGTCACAAGTACTGGAATGCATTTTTGCATTTTCAACACAATAGTGCAAGTTGACACTTTCCTGTAGGAGAAAACAAGAATGACCACAAGTCTAGAAAAGATTGACCAAGCAAAATCCTGCAATCCTAGAGAGGAGAATAAATGTGTACATGGTAACAAGCATTCAAAAGGTTCTTGCAAAACAAGGAGATAATCTACTTTCTGCCTCTTCCATATATTGGAAACAAAGAAATGGTCTTCATCTGCTCTTGTCAGAATTCAGGTGAGTTGCAGGGAAGTAGTTTGTAACAGTCAGGAAAGCACAGCCCTGTAATAAATTGCTTGGGGAAATTGTAAAGTCTCTAATAGCAGAGGTCTGCAGGAATAAATTGAACAAACAACTGTTGTAGGTGTAATTGATGCTGCCAAGGAGCATAGAGAGGAATAGATCATTCAGGTTCATTACAGCCATAGTTTTCTATAGTTCTGTGTAATGGGTACCATAAATAAAATTAAGGGATAGGGACAGAGTTTTAAGCAGTTTATGTTTGTCCTTTTGTCATAAAATCTTTCACGTTAGATAGATGCTTGAATTATTAAACAACAAAACAAAGAACAAAAGAAACTTTCATGCAGCAGAGTGAGAGCTTTTTGGAAAAAAAAGCTTAAAGGGAAAGAATAAAAAAAAAAAGAAAAACAAATTCTTTCTGTTGCAGTCGTAGCTAAAGTCATGGAAGTTGTTCACTTATGAATTCCTGTTGTGTACCCCAGGAGTAAAGGCTGAGATGAAGGCTGCCTTCATTTTAAGCAGGTCCTGCAGAGCAGCACCTGTATATCGGACTCAGCACAACCTAGTGTCATGATGAGTCTGACCTCAAAGTTTATCAAAGAGTAATAAAACTGTACTACTCAACTTTTGTTGTAAAACTTTTCTCCCAGATTATCTGAGAGTTTTTCGTGATTTTTTATTGGCTGCCATTCTCTATTGAAAATGTGAAGAAAGTGAAAACTGAATATTTTAGCTACAGTGAGAGTACCACATCATGATCACATTTCAAAGTGCATGCCATGTTCAACTGTTCTGCAGTGCTATGCATTTACAAACTCTACATCCAGTCATAGAAGTAAAGTATTTTCCAAGTCTTGTCCATATCTTTTATGTGGGAAAAGTGATGTAATTCAGTAATTCCTAGGTTTGCAAAGCGCGTTCTGGCATGATACCTGGGCCCAGATCTTCTCATTTGAACATAAAACTTAGTCATTAAGAGACATGACATATAAATAGTAGAGCACCTGTCTTACAATGGAAATGCACAATGCCCAGCTCTGTACTACAAACTGGGAAAGACTTTGAAGTTATGCAAAGGACCATAACTTTTATTAAAATCGGTATATGAGAAATAAAGCAAGAGCAATAAAAATAAAGCACACATAAATTGAGACAAGTGTTATACAAAGTGGATTATGCTAATTTAACGAAATCTGTTTCTAAACCAAGATGCTTTAGCTCATACTGTTCATATTTCTAGAAGACCAATTAGTATTCCTTCAATACCTGGAGCTCTAATGCTACATAAGAAGAATGGCACTGATGAAAATTTGGAAATAGGTGAGTCCTGGGGTATCTACTAACTAAGGGAGCAGTGCTGAAAAGGGACAGTGTTGCAAGGGGGTTGTGAGTGACAGGTGGCCCAGGCTAGATGACAGGAGGTCACTGCATCTGCTAGAGATCTTTATTGACAAGGCTGTTTGGAGGCAGACACCTTTTACAAAAGTCCAGCCAGATGTCTGTCCCCTCAGAGGCCTAGGGATCCACAAGCCTAGCTAATACTTCCATGAAGAATGGGGTATCCATATCCATAAAACCACTGAAGTTTTTCTGTTAGGTTGGTTTTGGAGTTTTTTTTAATCCATGTTGCCCTTCTGTCTGCTAGTTCACAACAAAGCTATTGACCCTATTGGCAATACTCAAAGAATTTTAATGTATTATGAAAATATAAGCTGCGAACAGTAGCTGTTAAACCCAGGACCTGGCAGCATGAGGCATCCCTGGCCATAACACATCTTGTCCCAGCCCAAATGTGAAGTCAAGCAAGAGAAACAAAGGATGAGAGAGGAAAGAGCAGCAAGGACTGATTTTAGGGTGTGACCATGGCAGGATTTATGTGGGCTGCAGATAGATGTCAGAGGAGTTACTATGTCAGAGCAGAAATTCTGGATTAAATGCTGGGAAGATAAGGGGAGGTGTGGTGAAGACAGAGTAGGTGTAGGGGCTGTGATGAGGGTACATGAGAGAGAGAGAGCTCTGATTATTGCAGTGACAATCTTTGAAAGACATGGGTTAAGTTATTGAGGCAGTTTTCTTTTGTTGGGCACCCTTATGTGTAAGTTTTATGCAAATAGTGGGCTGGACAGCAAGAGAAATTTTCCTACTTGGGGTTTTGTAAGTTTGTAACAAAAAAAACCACCTGGTTTACACTCCAAGTCAAATTAGTTAAAAAGTCAGTCAGTCATAGGGCACAGGAGTGGTTAGCAGATGTTTTCAGTTATGGTTCTTGCTGTGTGTGAGAAGGAGCCCCACAAGCCAGTCTCATTTTATGACTTAAAAGGGAGGAAAAGTTGAACAGATTCTCCTAAAGTTTTTCCCAAAATTCCCTCCCACAAAAATGTGTTTCTGGAAAGACAAGAAAATTTCTGTGTTTTCAGTCTCACAGCATAAAATGTTTTTAGGATTATGGGCATGTGGTAAAGAGGACCTGCTAAAGACTGCAGACTTGGCTGGAACATTCTTCTGCATAAATTTGGTCAAGGATTTTTTGTGCAGATGAATTGACAGTGACTGTTTTCCATCAAGTGATCGTGAAATGTTTGATCTTTCTCACTCCTACAGAGGCAGCTAAACTGATTTTCAGCACATGAACACAGATCAGTTTAGACATCTTTTTCTGTCCACTCCAGTCTGATGGCTTTTGGTAGCACCTCTGCATGTCAAACACATCACTGCTATGCTGTGGGAGCATTTTTGCTACAGTTATGTCTGGCATGATGAAGATAAATTTCTGTGGATGGTGAACATGATTGTTTGCAGGCATGCAGATGTGGCTGTATTAAATGATGTAGCAGTGTACTATCCATCAGTTTCCATATGTTGTTGGCTGTTTTTACCTTGGATAATTGATTAGTTACTTCACTGTGGAAAACAGCTGGAGCAAACACTTAAATTTCATTGTGAAGTAAGGGGAGAGTCTTTGACTGATCTCTAAAAGTCACATCATGACAAATCCTGTGTCTTTAGGATTGCAGAGAAAGTCAATAAAGAACACTTATTGCACTGTGAGAAAACACTGGTGAAAAGCACACAGTGTCACTAAAACAATGCCCAAGGACAGCGCAATGTATTCCTTCTTAATGATATTTAATCATTGGCAATTTATAGGAATTAAAATTACAATGAAATACACAGTCAAGAATTCACCTCAGATGCTAACTCAAGTGTACATTATTATAGCTGTGTAGTCTAGGTGAATATTCAACCATTTGTCATTTCCTGCATAAATATGCACAGCGACTGGGATTTTTTGGTAGTGAAAACATAGCTGAGGGAGATGCTACTAAAATGTAGAACAGGAGACTTTTGAATAAGATAATGTGATTCTACCCTTCAGCAACTGTCTTCTAAGACTTCAGAGTTTTGTGTGAATATTTTATCAACAATAAATACAGATTTTCTCTCACTAGTTTATCCTTTTTTGTCTATCAGTATATTGTATATTATATTTTTTCAATTTCTGTCCATAGCAATATAAGTGGAAGCCATATATACTAGAAATTTTTCTTTCCATTAGTGCATGGCAAGAATTCAATAGTGAGTGGATTTGCATGTACTGCATGTACTTTGGCAAGACAGATGGATTTTTGGAACTTTCCAGTTGAGTGGTTTTAAAACTTGTAAGAATCTGCACCAAGGGACCCCAAGCATTGTAGTTGGCCCAGGACACCTACTGCATCCTTTCTACTCAAATACGTCTATTTAATTGTTTAATAGTTATGTGACCATTTTCCTCTCTCACAGAATGTTATAATGTGCAGAAACTACCTTCCTCTGGGACAGATTTTGGCATCCCATCATCTATCAGATTGCTTCTTAGGAGCTACTGCTTTATTAAAATTCAAGGATACTTTCTGATTTTGTTCCCAAATTAACATGATGTTATCTTTGCCTTCCCAAATTTTATTTTCCTATCCAGATTACAGTATGAATCCAAGGATCCTATGCTCAGCAAGTTTGCAGAGAAAAGAGCTGTTGAAAATTAGTGAAGTAACTCTGTGTCACACAGAGATCAAATATTAATCTGCAGCTATAGAGAAAGACATCAACTCATGATTGACCGTTCTCACTTACATGCTTTGACTTTCTCTTTCTTAGTATCTGCATGCAAATGGGATCGTGCATCGAGACTTGAAGCCAGAAAATCTACTCTATGCAACACCAGCACCAGATGCACCATTAAAAATTGGTGAGCAGCATTAAATGTCTGCTTCCCTGATGCCTTTGCATCAGTAATATGTGCTAACTGATGTTTGGAGTATATACATCTCACGATCACCCTATTTGAAGCCAGTCCTTAATGAACAGCATGTTTCTTCAGCAGCACAGCTGTTAATGATAGTTTCAAAACCAATGCAAAACTAGATGCTTGCTTACAGAATTCATTGCCAAAATCATGTGGAAAGTGGCAGAGATTAAAGCACTGGGAACAAGAAGAACAATGAGAACAGCATAAAGGTCTGTGCACCACTTTTATGCCCCTTTTTTCTGTTAAGCTGGTACCTTAAGAGGAAAGATATACTAGTGTGAAAATAAAAATGTGCAGATAAGTGGCAGAAAGCAAACTGAGCAAGGCTGGCTTCTGTTTTGAAGGCAGGTTTGAGGGACATGCAGAGATCTTTGCAAAGAGCACAGAGGAGCTCTCTGAAGCATGGTCAGCACCACAGAGGGGGCAAGGAGGAGCAAGGCTCTCCTATTCAGGAATGTATTGTGCCAGTTCTGTTGGAGATGCAGACACTTCCAAAGGGTATAACCTCCAAAAATGTTGGGCATGCCTAGTTTTTTGCTTGAGCAAGGAGCATCCTTCTCTAAGTTTGAAAATACCACCTGGTGCTCCTTTAGGAGTGAGTGTTTCCACAGTCATCAGGATGGTGTTTGTCATGGTTTTCTGAAGCCAAATTTCCATGAAGTGGCCTCAAGCAATTTTGTATAAATTTCTAGGAACATTCTTGGTTCTCAGGGTGATGGTATTGTACTTTATATCTTATCCTACTTATCTTTCCTGGAAAGGCTCCAAACTTGATAATTTAATGTAACACCAGTGGCTTTGGTTTGATGTCCAGAGTGTGTAGGGCTTTTGAAACATTTCCTAAATGCCATGATTCTTCATCTTCCTGGTAAGGTAATTGCCTTATTTAAATTGAAGTCAAATTTACAACGAGTGGCTGTGTCTATAAAAGTAAACTTTATTTCTAGTTAGATAAATTATAATGCAAAAAGGATAGCCCTTTAGGAAAAAAGTGACCTATTTTCATCCTGATCTTGAGTTAAAACATTCCCTTTTATATTCAGTCTAAATAAACAAAATCAAGTCCTTTATTTTGCGCTCTTAAGGCCAAGGTGATTTTCATCACCTAAGAATAAGTCCGTTTGAATAAACTTAGTTTATTCTCAGTGAAAAAAGAGTTGTGAACACTTCAATTTTTATTACTTTTATGAAGGAGTCATGCAAGTACAGTGTGTATTGTCACAAAGGCCCTTGCTCTGTGAATAGTAATTCAGAGTGGAACATTGGAGAAAGGATGATCAATACTTCTTTTATCATCATCTCTGTGCCTCTAAAAGGCTTCTATCAAAATATTGCTGAGATTTTGTCTTGCAGAGACTACATACTTTGACCCTTGACTAAAAAAGCAACCCAAAATAGTTCTGATAATTTTATTGAATTACTCACAGAGTGGGAACTGAATATATACCTAAAATATATTTTTGAATCTCTGCTTGTATGCCCTTAGGCCTCCCACTGCACTGGCTTTGTGCAGTTTTCAGAATAAAATACAAGCTACATTTCTGTCAAGCAAGAGCCAGGAATACTCATTTTTACAGCAAATTTTGCCTCTGGATTGCAGCATGGGTAGATGCATTAAATCAATGCTTACCTATGGAAATGTCAATACCATTCATTTAACGTATGAATGTTTATTTAATTGCATATACAATATAAAAACCCACATTATTACAGGGAGTAAGAACATTAATATTCCCAAACCATCTTAACAGCTGACTTTGGACTTTCCAAGATTGTGGAAGATCATGTGACCATGAAGACAGTTTGTGGAACTCCAGGGTACTGTGGTATGTTGTTTTGTTACTTATATTTGCATTTATGACTGTAGATGCCAAGGAAAGAGGACACTGGAGAAGATGGTGAGATCACTCTGTTACCTCATAGAACAGCCTATAATGGCATTCAGGTGACATTGTCACTCTCCATTGTATGACATTGCCTGCAAGGCACACACACATACCAAGTCTGTTTCAGAGCAGCATTTAATTCCAGCCCAGTTAGTTTCATAAAACTGTGTTTCACATATTAGCTGTTAATGTTCTGGTTGTCCTCTCTTGTGACAGTTATACTACCAGTGTCACACGTCCATAGTTAGAGCTTAGTGCTTTTATGCCCATCACCATATACTTCGTAAAAACAGCATAAGGCTCATTCCTGTAGAAGAGCCCTCAGAGTTATGTTGACTTGGTAGGAAGGATTGAGGCTGAATATTTATGCAGGGAAGGGAAGAAAGGAGCTTTATGCCTATAGTTATGTGCCTATAGCAATCCTTGATTTACAATTCAAGTCAACTGACTGTGCAGAAATCCTGGTGACCAGAAAATATTCAAGCATTACTTTCCAGAATTGGAGGAAACCCAGGAGAAATACTGTTTAAATGCCAAATTAAACTATGAATAATTGATGGTTCCAGGCTGCCAGCTCCCACATCCTGCCCACCCATCTATCAGCGGCTTCTCCAGAAAGGACACAGCAACAAAAAACACATACTGTAGTCTGAATACTTTGGCATCAAGACTTGAGAATCTGTAGTCCTTGGGATGTACAGATTGATGCAGAGGACGGAAAGCAAGAAGATGATCACAGAGAACTTGGTTTGCTGCAATGTTGTGCCTTCAGTGAACTTAACAAGAAGAGCATATGTGTTTTCTGAGAGTAGCACAAAAAATCAAGCCAGTGCAAAGCAATGATTCATGATCAGTCTGTTAGAGGCAACCTCTAAACTAACACCAATGTGTCAGACAATTCCATTCAACAAAAGCAAACTTCTGGAAATCTTAAAAAATACAAAAAGTCCTTCTGTTCATGGCTGTGCAAGTGTAGTGTGGGAAGGAGAAAAGATTGCATTGATGTTTGTAGGTACAGCCAGCCCACTGTGCTCCAGAAATGTGGCAGCCATCCTATGTGCATCACAGATCCAGTGGGACCAGGGTCCTCAAGCTGTGCCTGTCAAGCTGCTTAGGCAAACATTGACTCCCCTTTACTTTTGCAGAGCTGGAGTTCCCCAAAACTGCCTGGCCTTTCCGTCTGCTCCTCACAGCAGCAGAACCAACTGCTGGAAATGGTCTGTCTTTCCTTACAATGAAAACAGAATATCAAAAATAAAGCCTAAATAAAAGTGCCAAGCAAATAGACTCATAGAACCATTCAGGTTGGAAAAGACCTCCAAGATTGTCAAGTCCAAGCTTTGACAGCACACCACCATGCTAACTGTGGGCCATGTCTAGTCGTTTCTTGAATACCTCCAGGGAAGATGACTCCACCATCTCCCTGGGCATCCTGTTCCAATGCTTAACCACCCTTCCTGTGAGAAAATCCTTCCAAATATCCAACCTGAACCTCCCCTAGTGAAGCTTGAGCCATTTTCTCTTGACCTCTCATGCTTACATGGGAGGGGAAGCCAACCCTCACTCCACTACCACCTCCACCCAGGTAGTTGTAGAGACTCCCTGAGCCTCCTCTTGTCCAGGCTAAACACTCACACTTCTCTCAGCTGCTCCTCTTAGGATTTATTCTCTACCTTCACCAGTTTCTTTGTCCTTCTCTAGACAGGCTCCAGTCCCTCAAGGTCCTCCTGGTTGTAAGAAGTGCCAAACTGGACACAATATTTGATGTGTGACTCACTGGTGCCCAGCACAGGGGGGATGGTCACTGCCCCACTGTTGCTGACACAACAAGGTCAGGATGTCCTTGGTCTTCTTGGCCACCTGGACACAGCTGGCTCATGTTCAGCTACTGTCAACCAGCACTCCCAGCTCCTTTCCTACTGAGCAATTTTCCAAATGCTCTGCTCCCAGCCTGTAGCACTGCAGGGGGTTGTTGTGGCCCAAGGCAGGGCTGACATTCAATCTCATTGAAACTCATGCCATTGGCCTTGTCTCATGGATCCAACCTGTCCACATCCCTCTGTACAGCTTTCCTAGTGCCCACTGATGTCATCTGCAAACTGACTTAGGATAGCCTCATCCAGACCACGATAAAGATGTAAAACAGGACTGGTCCCGACACTGGACCCTGGGAAACTCCTAGCCACCAGCTGGATGTAACTCCACTCATGACCACTCCCAGTGTCCAGATGTCCAGAGAGTTTTTCATCCAGTCAGTGACACCACAGCTGTCCACACCATGAGCAGCCAGTTTCTCCAGGAGAATGTTGTGGCAGATGGTGCCAAAGACTGCTAGAGTCCCCATAGACAACACCCACAGCCCTCCCCTCAACTGTCAGGTGGATCAGCTGCTCATGAAAGGAGATCAGGTTGGTCAGGCAGGATGTGCCATTCCTGAACCCCTGCTGGCTGTGCCTGATCCCCTGTACTGTATTTGCCATGTGATCACATCCAAGATGATCTTCTCCATCATCTTCCCTGGCACTGAGGCCTGTACTTCAGACCTGTACTGTGCCTCACAGGCCTGTACTTCCCTGCATCCATTTTCCTGCCCTTCTTGTGGACTGACATCACATTAGCCAGCCTCCAAATCATCTGGGACCTTCCCAGTTAGATAGGACTGATGATCAGTGATGCAGAGCAGCTTGGCAAGCTCCTTCTCCAGCTCCCTCAGCACCCTTGGATGAATCCCACCTGGTGCCATGAACTTGTGAGTGTCTAAGTGGCTCAGCAGGTCACTGCCTCCCTCCTCCTGGATTGCACAGGTTCTGTTCTGCTCTCTGTCCCTGGCTGCCAGCTGGGGCTGGTTCCTTGCGGATAAACAGGCCTTACTGTTGAGGACTGAGGCAAAGAAGGCATCTGAGCCTTTTCCTCATCCTTGGTTCCAGTGTTTGCCTCTGCATCCAGTCAAGGATGGAGATTTTCATTGGCCCCATTTTTGTTGCTGATGTATTTATAAAAACACTAAGTAAAATACTGAAGTTAAAGCACCTCCTTCTTGGTCACACTGTAGCTCCAGTGCAGCTGTAGCTTTCTGTCGTTCCTTCCACAAACATAAAAAACAATTTGAAACCAAAGTACACTTCTCATTTTATTCTGGCTCTGCTTGGGCATGACTTCTCTTGTTTTATATTCAGTGAAGGGACACATTTGCCTAATTAAGGGCTTAAATGGGCAGTCCTAATTTTTTATAAAACTCTGCACACAACTGTGCATGGACTTCAATTGTTTTTGTGACTGTTATTTCTTCACTCAACTTTTGTGTTACTGAAAAGTGTTTTGTCCTCTGCAGCACCAGAGATACTACGGGGATGTGCCTATGGCCCTGAGGTGGACATGTGGTCACTGGGGATTATCACCTACATCCTGTAAGTGCAAACAGTCATAGAGAGAGGTTCTCTTTCTAGCACCCACAGGATTTCATTACACTATGAACTGTGCCATTGGAAAAGACAAGATCCTGAACTTTAATTATTACGTTCCTAACCTTACTGAAGTCATATCCTAGAAGAACATGGCAAAACACTCAGTCTAAATATTTGATAAATATAACACTTCTTCCTGAACAGCAGCAGACCTACCCATGCAGAATCATGCTACTAATGTGAATAAGTATAGACCAAAAGTTCCAAACACTTGTGTTTAAGTAGGCATTTGTGTCTAACTCTTATTGTGGTTAGTCATGATTCAATTGGTAAGAATTATAATTACTTTATTGTATTGATTGAATCCTTCAAAGGAAGATTATTGAGAAGGAAAATTGCATATGATGTATTGACTTCTTTATGGGAGAATAATTATGAGACTAAATTTAGACCCTTGGCAATGACAATGCTTAGCTGGGTTGTGTAGTTATATACAATACTTCTAGGATGATTTTGTGGGAAGAAAATGACATTTTACACATGTAACTTAAAGATATGGAGGATTTTATACATGTGGGCCATTATCCCTCCCCTACTACTTGCTATGTCCAGCAAGTACAGTGTGGAATAACACAGTTATTTTTATATTTTGCAAAGAAAAAAAATATATTCGCTAGAGTTTATACTAAAAGTCCATGTAAGGATATATAAACACTCTGATAGTAATGTCAGAATACATTCATCTTTTCTTCTGCACATAAGTTTCAAATAATTCAAAGGTCTCCTTTTGGGTACCTGTAAATAATAGGCTACAATATTCCTATTTGTCATTTTGTTATTTGCTCCTTTTAAATGTGTGTCTTGGTGTCATGGTCTGGTTCAAGATCCAGACCTTGTGTTGAAAATCATGTCTCAGATATTGCCTGCCAGGTGCTCATTTCTTGTCACTTCTAAGGTTTCCGCTGATGACAGAAAGATATGAAACTTGCCAGCAAGACAGCAAGATGATCCCTAAGACTGGAGAGCTGACTTTTGTTGTCCTTTTACAATGCCACCTAGATTGAGTTATGGCCTTTCCTAGTTACTCAAGGCCTAATGAAGTTACTGCACTTCAAACTAAGAGCCTGCCTTAAGCAGAACTTACTTTTAAGTGTAAGCAAGCTTCAACAAACTCCAGATAGCTCCTATCTAAATATCTGGCACAGCATTTTCCATATGCAACTTCCCAAAACCTTCTGTGTGTGCATAAATACAAGTGTGTGAGTTCCTGCCCTAGATGAGGCTGCATGACTGTAGATACTCTTCCATTCTTCCTCCTTCTAGTCCTGTCCTACTCCCACCTCAAAACCCAATTTGATCTGCAGGAACAAGATGCAAAAATCCACCTGGTTGTCTCTTCCATTTAGCTTTAACAGTACTCCACCTTTTAACTCTTCTATTGTGCATAAAGCTTTGTGAATCAATATGTCTGATGGATTAGAAACTGAGACCAGAAAGGTACATGTAAAATTACTAAATCATTAATCCTGGAGCCCAGAGGACAATGTTGCGTGTCTCAGTCTCATAGTTGAGTAAAGGAAACCCACTTACATAGAGACAATAAGAACCCCAACATTCCTGTATGTCCACGCAAAATGGAGTGTATGTAAGAGTTAACAATCACACTATAGAAGATTGGCATAAAACTGTATCTTGCCATTAACCAAAGTGGCCTTACTATTTGATTAAAAAAAAACCTGACATATTTTGACAGACAGTTTTTACTGACCCAAATTATATTAAGACCTGTTGGTGGTAACTATCATAATTCAAGGGAAGCCACATGTGTAGTTTTAAAAGTCAAGAGGAACAGTCCTTTTTGTATTCCTAAAGCAGGTAGAAATCCTTCTGCATGTTTGAGATGCAGACAGTGGTCAAAAAATACAGAGTCTTTGCCTGTAGTCAAAATTGCATGGATTTAATTAAAGGAGTTACTTTACTAAGTTACTTAAAAGGACACAAGACCCCATCTGGTCATTTTAGTTGTTTTTTAAGCTCTTTACATTGACTTTTCCTTTATTTGTAGGTAACTGATTTAAACTGAATCACAAAAATAAAATGTTATTTCAAAATAATATAAAATCAAGAGCAGCCACACCAGGTTTTGCACTGATTCAATTAATCTAATTTAAAATAACACCTCTATGTTTACTCATCTATTTTGGCATGTAGCAAAAAAAACCCCAAAAACTCTGTCTGCTGAAATGGATTTTTAAGTAGAAGCATATCTATTGAAATTGTTAGTAGGAAAGCAATAGGTGATAGTAGTGAGTTACAGTGAAAACAGAAAGCTCACTTAGGAGGCTTCCAACACAATCACAGCAAGACTTAAGCAGGTTCTTACTGCCATTGGTGACCCAGGTCGAATAAACAGTTTGGGCGGAGCCAGTGAGGGGAGCTCAGGGGTGTTCCATGGGGACAGCAGGGACCTGCTGCAAACCCAGAAATGGTAATGGGAGAGGCAGCAAACAGGAGGGGAGCAGCAGAGTGCCTCTGCCTGGCTACCACCTGCTGAAGCACAAGGCTGGGAGGCTGGATCCTTGTGTTTTAATACACCTTTGCCAGACTTGGAAAAATAATATGCCCAGAATGTTCTTGCAATGAGGTGTTTCTTCCCTTCAGCAGTGGAATGTGATGCAGCTGTTCAACCTACGGTTATGCACCACTCCCAAACCCACATTTTTTCCTTGAACCTCAGCCTCCTTTTTCATAACAGTAACCACATTGTGTTTAAAAATACAAAAAGAAGTTAAAATGTAGGGCTTTTCTATATTTTTTCTGGTCTTGATCATTATGATCTGCTGTTGTTTTCCTCTCATCATCTTACTGCTGTTGCATTTTCTGGAGGCAGGGGAGGAGATAGCCTTTCTCTCTTAAGCTCAGATCACATACTGGCTGAATAGGAAATTCACTTTAAAAAAATCTGATTATGTGTGCAGGCGTGATTAAAGTGCAGTGAAGCGATAAAAAAAAGGACATGATACAAATGGAAACCACATCTATGAGTCTGCTTTCCCTGAGGCCAGCAATGTGGATCTCTGCTAGGATCTGTATTATACAATATATTTATAAATGCAGTCATTAGTGAGATCACAAGACTTCTAGAGTGTATGTAGGTTACCTAAGTAAAGATGAGGCCTGATCATGAAAACTTACCAAAGGTTTTTACATGTTGTGGCTGATAGGATGGAAAAATGTACAGGGATCAACATGTCTAAAAATCATTCCTAATTGAAGATACAAAAACTTTAACTTCACGTGTAAGATTAGTTTCCTCAGCTAATTCCTACTCCTCTGGCAAGAGTTACAGGGATTCTGATAAATGATCCTCTATGATCCTATTTTAATAGTTCCAATTAAACACATGAAAATAGAAAAAAATACAATTAGAAAAGCCTTTCCCAGTGCTTAAGAATACTTATGACCATATTTCTCTCTGCTCTGTAGAATTAGAAGTTCATGAGTACATCGAGGTCTGGTTTCCCAAAGTGATCTACAGGACACAGAGTAGGGAAAAATACTACCATGAATTGTTTCTAACAACCCAAGAGTAATTAAAATTTGATAAATTAATTTCTTTTTTATCCTTTCAGACTTTGTGGCTTTGAACCATTTTATGATGAAAGGGGAGATCAGTATATGTTTAAGAGAATCCTGAGCTGTGAATATGACTTTGTGTCCCCCTGGTGGGATGATGTGTCTCTGAATGCCAAGGATTTAGTAAGTAAAGCAAAAATGAGACTGGTGTATTTAGTATTTTTGCCACTGAGAAAGAGTCCATTTTGGTGTGGGGACAGAATAATTGGTTAATTAATTGTTCATAATTGTTTCCTCTTGTCTTTGCTATATTGTGGTGTTGTTAATATTCCCTGTTAGTCCAGTGCTGTAATTTTGCACTCAGAACATGGATATTCAGGTTCTTCTGTGAAGCAAGCCATAGATTGTCAGCAGCTGTCACAGTGTTCATGTATGCCTGCCTTTCCTTCCAGCTCTGAAGTGTTTCACCATTCATCTTCTCCAGGCAAACACCTTCAGGGGAATGTAGAAAAAAGCCCTTCTTTTTTCAAAAAATGCAGTTTTCAAGCCTGCATTTTGGGGAAGAATATAAAAAGGAATGAAACTTTCCTCCCACTGCTTTTTTTGGCATATTTTTTTCTGTCCATTAAAGTTTGGGTTTTTTTGGTAGGTGAGGAAAGACTTACTACTTTTAAATATGCTCCATTAGCAAAATGCAAGGGCTGGCATGCTATCTGCACTGTATTCTTTTATTAGTGCATAAAATAATTTGGATCCAGGAGACACTGATCTGCAAAGATAGCTATGCTTGAGTCTGACTTTTGTCAATAATAACTTGCATCATTCAGTTATTTCATAAGCACTGAAAACACAAGTGCTGTGTTCCCTATATACTTATACAAACTGTGTCACAAAATACTATGTCATTGGTGTTAGTAAAGTACTTCAAGATATTTCAAATAGAAGTACTGTAGAAGTTCAAAGTACTTTTTTGGTGTTTTATGAGATGTGAAGTTTTTCTAAGGCTAAATAAATATAATTTAATGCCAGATCAACAGCAGGTAAAGCTTTTGTCCAATCCACTCCATACTGTTTTAGTAAAGTAAAGCTCAAACTTTCAGGTTTGAACATTGCATAGGAAATTGTAGATAATGATGACCATGACTCTCCAAACCCATGTTGTGGGCAGTTCAGTGTTCAGCTGAAGTGATTTGTTTAACTCCAGGTCTTTGTTGGAGACACAACCAGTATTCACCACAATTCCTGTTCTTCTGCATGCACTTCAGGGAAGAAATTTTGTTTAAAAGCTATTTGTAGAGAGATTTCAGAGAACACTAAAGGAAGTTTTCCCTCACCCCTGGGCACATAGGATCAGTGGAGCCCATGCCATCACTTGCACTGCTCCAAGAGGGTCTGTAGTCAGGAGAGCTGGGTAAGTGTGGCTCTGCAGAGTGCCATCTGTGTACTTTGTTACTCCATCCTCACCTGTCTTCTTTTTTTAAAACTCCACTTGTCCAGAGATACAGTAAAACTCATGGAATGTCACTTGACTGGACACACTTTGTATACAGCAGGACCATCTCCAGTCCCAGGGGTATGTTTGCAGTGCCTTTTCCCAAAAATATCCTACTGTCATATTTGTAGAAGTCCAGGTTTTCTGGCTTTGGTGATAGAAGGAATGGTGTAAACAGCATTAGTTTCAGAGTGGGCTAAGACAGAAAACAATGTTTTTTTTTTTATGTGCACATAAGGTTTTTCAGTGACTGAAAGAAAAATTTCCTTTGTGATATACATGACAGGGACTGCATGGTACAAGTGTGCAGAAGCTGCATGCACATAATTTAAACCTTCTAATCCACTTTAAAACTTGTCCAAATTCTAAAGAAGAGATACTGCTCAGAGACTTTGAGAATCTCTTAGGGTTTTTGTGACAAGTCAGACATGAAAGAGCCTATGATAGATACAGGTCAGCTGCATTGGTACATACCCTTAATATGTTGGTAACCAGCTGATACTTTCTCTTTTCTCTTCCCCCTTAGTGGCTGTCTTAATCAGATGTTATTTATGGAGGACCAAGAAATGCCTGAAGTAAAATACTTGCAAAGACACAAATGAAAATTCTTGTTGGTTTCTTAGACTGTCTCACCTAAGGTGTTCTCCAAACCAAGGCTAGAGCCCCCAAATGCAAATCTAGGTAAATTTGAATGAAGAATAATGTTGACAGTCTTTTGTATTTCTTGCTTGTGATTCAGGTTAAAAAGTTGATTGTTTTAGACCCCAAGAAACGCCTCACCACTCTACAGGCTTTGCAGCACCCATGGGTCACAGGGAAGGCAATAAACTTTGCACATATGGACAACGCACAAAAGAAACTTCAAGAATTCAATGCCCGGCGTAAACTTAAGGCAAGTCTCTGCTCATTGTCTCTGTTTTGGCTATGAAAGCACACAATTAAATTAGTAGCCTTGCAGAAACCTTGCACATTTTTGAGGACAATATTCCATGGTGTTATGGAAGCTTTTTATTTAAGATGTCTGATGAAGATTGAAGAAGTTTGAAGCTGATTCAGTCAATGACTGAAGCCAAAACAAAAATGGGTGAAGTTGATTGAAAACTTTCTCTACACAGACAGGACTGCTGAGGATGTACACACCTTTCACAAAATCCTTGCTTTCCATCTTTTTTTCCCTTCTTCCTGTCTTGCTTCTGTCCACCCATCTGTCCTGTATTGCTGGTGCATCCTTAGAATACTGATCAGAAAGAACAGCATACTGAGTAATTTTTTAATGAGCATCCATCAAGCTAAAAGAAAAATAGTTTAAGAGAATATTAAAGCATATTTTGATCCCCAACCTACTCGTACCTATCAATACAAAGCAGGAGGTTTAAACCATCCTTATACTCATTTCAGATGTGTAGGCCACAAAATATCCCCAGGATGCTCCTTTACCATCCAGTCTACATATCTGCCATTGGAAGAAGCAGGGAAATATCTTTAGATTCAAATAGCAGGCAACTGGGCACCTGACTAACATAGTATCAGGAAACTTTCTTCTCCCCTAATCCATTTTTTAGTTTTTAAAATTTTCATGTTATCAGGAGATAATTCCAGGGATACCTCAACACAGGAGTTGTTAGCAACAGCTACAGTGAAGCTGCCCTTGTAGCCTTGGGGAATAAGAGTAAAAAGCAACTTAACTGAGAGCTTTAGTAAATTCCATAGAAAAATCAATTCACAAAAAACTGAGCCTTAATTTCGGCTTTGCTATTTTTTCAGTAGAGAACTGTAGAAGAGAATCTGTACAGGGCAAAGAAATTTGCTTTGTCATTTACAAAGTTCTCAGAGGAAGTCACATTGACATTTTGATTTTGTTTTTCTTTATATTTTTACACCAGAGATATTTTTGAAGCTCTTTTTATTTAGACCCCTGCAGTTAATCAATTCATTCTTTTGTGATTATAAGCTATCACTTTTTATAAGTTTATTTCTTCACTTCTTCTCTGTTAAATGACCAAATCTCCAATTATTAAGAGGATTGATTGAAGCTGGCAGTTCTTGTAGAGTTAATAATTTTCCACAAATATATCTGTAAAAGAAACAATAAATTTTTTGACAATTAACTCCTGGTCAAAAAAATAAAACCAAAGCAGACATCAAAGTAGTGAGTACATCCTTCAGCTGTTGTTTTGTTAGTAAGAATAATGTGTAATTATTTCCTCTTTCCCAGCATAAAAGTCTATCAGCAGGCTTTCTTTAGGTAAAGATAAATTTTAAAGAGTAACTCTAAAGGTCTCAGTCAGGATTTGGTATTAGTAAATATCATATATCAAATATCAAACATCAAATGTCACAGCCTATATCATAGGCTGTGTTGAATTTGTTTCATAAACATCCAACACTGCTTGTGAGACTAAATTACACACTAAATTACACTGAAGTGCGTTTAGAAATTATAGTATCATTGAGTGGCTTCTTCTGTTTGTAATCAGTTTTCCAAAGTCCTCTCACCACTAATGTGGATGTCTGTGATTTTTCCTTTAAGGTCTACTCTCTCAAAATTTTTGTCTATTTCTTTGGTTTATCCCTTATATTATTTCTTCATAATCTCTTGTAGCTGATTCTTTTTATTGACAACGTTTATGTTATCTGCTTTTCATTAAAATCTTTTTTTCCTTTTTATTTGTTCCTGGGAGTTTTTTGTTTGTTTCTTTTTTGTGTGTGTGTTTTTGGGGTTTTTTTTGGGTGTGTGTGTGTGATTATCTCTCAAAAGAATCCACAAAACTTGCTATGTTCTTAATCTCTCCCTGCAGACCCACTTCTTTGATGTCTAAGCAAAAGCTCAAAAATAGCTTAAGCTGTCGCACACAGAAATTAATATTTATTTTCCTCACCTCTGTATGTCTGGTTTTTTTCAGGCAATAAAACTGTCCAAGGCAAGGGCTAGTATAACTGTCCTCATGTGTGCCTTCATTTTGTGATATTTCATGTGACATGAAATCCTCCTCCTAGTGTGTATTTCATATGCCTATACTTAGGAAGTTGCCCATCTGCTGCACAACATTGCACTTGGAATATGCAACAGTGCAATAGTGATAAATATTGTGTTCCTTTGTGAAATTTTCATGGAATAATCAGTGACAATACTGTTTTTATTATTATGACAGAAGATGATGACTTTCTTTTTTGTCATCTACTTCAACATGGGACACCTGAAGTAATTTCTAAAAAAAAAAAAAAAAAAAGAAAAAAAGAACCAAAAAATCCAGGGTATAGCTGAAAAAAAGTAAAAAGGTTGTGTTCATGTCACCCAACATGTAACCTTGTGAAAGCAGCAATTTTAAACCTCAATCTAGTATTCCAGGTGGCTTTCTAAATCTGCCTAGCCCCAGGCAGGTATCCAAAGGTGATATTCCCAGGAAGACTGAATGCAGTTGCTGCTGTTGGGGCAGTGCTGAGTGCCCATGGGCCATGTTCCCTAAGGAATGTTTGCTTGGTCCCCTCTCTCCCAGGCTGCAGTGAAAGCCGTGGTGGCCTCCACACGCCTCGGCAGCGCCAGCAGCCACAGCGCCCACGAGGGCCACAAGCCCGGCCACAGCGCGGCCCCCACCCAGGACAGCCAGCCCACGGACAAACCCACCCAGGACAGCCAGCCCGTGGACAAACCCACCCAGGACAGCCAGCCCGTGGACAAACCCACTCAGGAAGTGGCGGCAGAGGTGGCTCCAGAAGAAATGCCTTAGGTGGAAGTCACTCGCTCGTGTTGGCAGAGATGTCATTTCATACACCAGCTACCTTGTCATCCAGCGAGAGAGATTAGCAAGCTTGGCCTCTCTGGTTCTGCTTCGGGGTGCTACAGGTCCCACCTGGTGATTCTACCTTCAGTGCATGTGACTGCTTATGAAAATAGCCAACTGTTCCATTAGGCATGCCATGGAAACAGTGTAATTTGCAGTAATATCGGCAGGTGAAAACATGGGGATTATTAACTACCTACCATAATGTGTATACTTCATCTATCTAGTGTTCCTAGGTGGCATTTGAAACAAAATGCTATTTTGTTTGGTTTTATGGAAGTAGGTGTCTTATCTATGTTGTGAATTTCTTTGAACTGTTTCCTTCCAGGTTCATAGTCCTTCAGCAGACAAAATGGAAGGAAATAACAAACCAATGCTTTTAAAACTGATGTATGAAATAATGTTTTTTATCTGTAAAATTGAAAAAGTATTTGGGGATTTACATGCAAAAAAAAAAAAAAAAAAACAACAAAAAAAACATTCCACTACTTCTGAGAAGAAATTGAAATGGTAGTTCCACTGGGCATGAAAATGTACATTGTTCAAGCTTGCATTGAGAATGCCTTATTCTGACTTTTCTTGTTTGTATACAGTATTTTAATAACAACCAAAATTACTCTGGCATTTCATTCCATAGTAAAGTGTTAGCAAAACAAAACCACAGACTAAACAAGGATTAGAGCACATGCAAATTTCTAGCATACCATTATATTTATTCATTAAAATTCTAATCTGCAGATAGAAGACATTTTATACACCCTAAGGGAATAATCTGCATTTAAATAAGTTGTAAATGCTTGAAAGAAGTTATTTCACAATTACTGATTTTACTTTGGGGAAACAATCTTATGCAAGGTCTAGGAGCAAGTAGTATAATCTAGTTGGTTCCTGGGTAGTTTAACTTCATGAGTGAGCAGTTTCCACTTGTAATTAGTCCACATTTTCCTAACAAAGGATGCCTCCTGTAAAGTGATCCACCAGCACGATCTTGCATCCACCCAGAGCTGTGTCTTGAGGTAGCAGCTGTGTGCATCAATCAGCTTGTAAAAGTAGGGTCAGGCTCTTCAGCTATCTTGATATTCTTGTTGAATGTGATTGATAGGAACTGAAAAACTAATGTGCATCAGTGTGTATGACCACTTACACTTGTTTATCTATTTGACAGCATGTGACTATTGTACTGATATATTACAAAAATGGCAAAAAGAACCTGACATACAAAAATGTCATTTGTGCTTGTTAAACTTTTTAATACTGATAGTTACCTAACATCTTAATACAATCATAATTCCTCTTTAGCTTTAATTGTTTTTATGTTGTTGTTAGGCCTTGCACAACTTGCCTTGAAAAAATATAGCAGCTACTGAAAAAAACAAGACTTTAATAAAACATTCAATAGCTACATTTCCTGATGAAATTAAAGGGTAATACGGTGTTATTCATATGGTAGATTTAATAAATAAAATGTGCCCTAAATTAATATATAAAGGAGGATTAAAGCTCCTGTCTTTACTGGGTGAAAATGCATGCTAATTAATATATTATACTTTAGATTTTTTGTCCATTTCTCAGAACTCTTTGAACTTGTACAAAAAGTTTTGCTAAGAAGGGTTAAAACGTGCATCCATTCAGTTTTCAAAGGACACACTTTGAGGTCAGCTGAAACATCTGGTGGAGGCAAAGCAGCTGTGTGCAAGCCAACTTGACACTTTTACAGATTTTTCCCTTGGAAACAAGTACAACAAGATTAATAACTTTGGAGAAGGTCACAGATACATCCACCTGTCTCACTTTTTACTCTCTGTCTTACCTCCTTTGAGGTCACTAGAGGAAAAAGGCAGTTCTCAGCTAATTTACTCCACCCTTTTATACTGTGGTGAAGTCATCCAAGTTCAGTCAGTAAGGAAGTTTGATGGGAGAGGCTGGATTCTGTACCATTTCTTCTTCATTTGGGATAATTGCTTCAAACCTGCAGAAGTGGAGTTGGCTGAGCAGTAACTGTGAGCATGAGCATAAATTCCTTCATCTGAGGCACAGTTTATTGAGCTGAAAAGTGGTCCCAGCTTATTCCCAATGGTGGTTTTTGCTAAATTATACCACAGCATATCATAACTATGAACTAATGTTATCTGAGAGGATACCTCTATGTGACAGCATGATCTTCAGAGGCAACTCAGTTTTGTGTAAAAAGACTCTGGGGCTTCAGTTGTTTTTGTTTTTATCATACTCAGCATTAAACAATCAGGATGTCTGTGCTGAGGCTGTGATTACCAGTACATGACTTGGTAAAGCACAGTGCCTGGCTGATATATTTGATGTATGACAGCAGTTGGGTATATGCATGCACTAGAAGATGCAGGTGTTCCCTGCATTGGCTTTGTCTGAAAAATCACATCCTGGTGGCATCTCCTGTAGTGCAGACTGGGATGTGCAACATCAGTGTCTTACTGTGGCTGAAAAATGTGAACACAGTTGAAAACTACTGGGGATTGACCAGATGTTTCCAAATCTTAAGTTATAAGCTAAGTAGAAAGTTACTTGTGCTCTTTTCTATTGAAATCCTGAGCTTCAATTCTTTAGAATATTTAACATATTAACAAAGTTCTTTAAGTACAAAAGGGAAAACCTTCCAATAATTTCTGAAGTATTTGAACTTAGCAAAACTTTTCCTTTAAAAGCAGATTGAAGGACTAGCCAATTGTAGGCTAATATTCCAGAGCTAAGATGATGATCAGATGGCTGTTAAATGGCTAAGCAGTCCTGTCTTTGTACCACAGCAGGGGTTTTCCCAGGTTCAGAAAGATTACCTCCAAAATAGAATAGATTTCCTGTAATTCCAAACACTTTTGCTTGCAATTTTGTGGACGACACAGTAGATGTCATCCACAAAATGTGAGCCTGGTGCTGGTTTGCTGGCTGAAGTTTGTACTTTACAGTGTGCAAACATGCTATGAAGAGGCAGACAGACTGTAATCAAACTTCTGAATTCAGAATACCATCCAGGCAAAAGTTTTTGATACAGCAGGTTTTTCAGAAGAAGGGTACTAAGGAGTCTGTCTACAAAAATGAGCAGGCTGTTGGACACATGGAGTGACAAAAACTGCCCAGCAGTCCCTTTGCCTTGGGGCATACAGCAAAATGCTCTGAAACGCTGTGTGGTAGCAAAGCAGAATCAAAGCATCAACAAAAAGCTTTTTGAAGTGGCTCAGTCCAGCAGGGAGGCCCAGGCTGCAGGAGGCTCTGGCTCACTGGCAGCTAGGTGTCCACACTTTCCAAATGAATCACCTTCTCCTACAACACACACTGCAAGTGGAACATAGAAACAGCTGGCAGCCATGGGAGAAATGAAGACAGCACCATATTTTCTGCTGCCAAGCAGCAGGGAAAGGGAAAATGATACTGGGAGTTGTTAGTGTCCAACTTGGCAGAAGGAAAGCAATATCTGACAAGCAGCAAATGCAGCAGGACTCTGGAAAATAAACCCTTGTTTCTAGGTAAATATCCCTCAGCTCCTGCACATGTGCTGGGTCATCTCTGGGGTTTTAAGAGCAGCATAACAAATTGTGGGGTAGAGGACTCCCTGTAAATCCTTGCACATTGTCCTGCATATTGTCTACTTACAGAATGGCAGACACAAGTGTCAGCACGATGCCTTGACGCCAGGCTTGTGCAGAGGCTTTTTCTTCTGGAGAAGAACTAATTTTTTTTGTGGCTGAGCCAATCTTGTTGCTGCTGAGGTTATGAGGGCACAACTTATGGAGGCACGGCATTCATGTAACAAAAAATATCAGAGGCTGACCAAGAAAGATGCACAGTTAGATCTAGAGACCAGTGGCAGGGATACACCCTAGTCCTGAAATAACTAAGGTAACAAAGAGACAAGCAGAACATCCTTAAAGTTACTTTATAAAACAATAACAACTCAAAGAATATATTTATTCCCTATCAGAGTTAATCCAGTTGGAACATAAACAGAGTTCATTCTTCTTTTGTGTAAAGAAATTTATATCAAATTCCCTGATGAGTCCCTACACAATACCAGGTTTTGTTGATCAAAAAACCATCAGCTGCATTGCAGAATAAGAAGAAAATAAGGAAGGAAAAGGGGGAAAAATATGAATGAAATATTTGCCTAGTGTAGACACAGAGCTCTAAAGCAAGGCTTGCAGAGGGTTACAAGGATGATGACATGAAAGGAGCAGCTCCTTTATGAGGAAGGGTGGAGGGAGCTTGCCCCATTCACTCTTAAGAAGGGATGACTGAGAGGGGACCTCAATAATACATGGGAATACCTGAAAGAAGGGTGACAAGAGAATGGACCAGGCTCTGCTCCACAGTGCTGAGCAATAGGACAAGAGGAAATAGGCAGAAACTGATGTCCAGCATGTTCCCCCTGAACATGAGAACATGAACATGAGAAAGGGCTTCTTTACTGTGCAGGTGTCCACATACGGGGAGAGACTGATTGCGCAGAGAGGCTGTGGAGTCTCCCTCACTGGAAATATTCCAAAACCTGGACACAATCCTATGCAATGTGCTTTAGGAAACCTGGCTTGAGCAGAGAGTTGGGACCAGATGACCATGCCAATGCTCAATTCTAGCCTTACCCATTCTGTGATGTTGTGATTTTATGATCTTAGTTCCAGAAGATATATAAATTCTTACTGGCAAGACTGCAGATTCTTTATATCTGGAAGGTAAAATTTCTGGCCAGAGTAATTTGGAAGATTGCTTGAGGGGCAGTGAAGAGCATTCCTTGGAGTGTGAACCCTAAGGATAGAATGATATACATGTATATAACTAAAGATTCACTAAATACTTACATCCCTCCCAAGTGGAAAAGAGAACCTGAATGCAGTTATTATTGGAAGGCATTCAAATATTGTGGGGATAGGCATGGTACAGAAGCAGGAATACAATGGAATACTTGAAGTGGCCCAATTCTG